GAGAAAGAAGCCCACGCCGACAACAGCTGTTACCTCCTGCTTCATCATCCCCCAGTGTGACTCTCTCCTGCAGATTACTTGAAGAGTTAGTGCGGAAAGAGAAAGAGTTACAAGCGCTCCTCCATCAAGCTATTGAAGAAAAAGACCAAGAAATCAAACACCTGAAGCTGAAGTCCCAGCCCATAGGTAAGCAGCAGAGAGTTTCCAAGTAATCCTCTCTAGGCATGACTGTTCCGTCAGGGTGCCACAGAAGGCTGGGAAGCCAGCAGGCAGGTGCGTGTCACAGCTCAGTCATAGCTCCGTGACCGACCAGCCAGCCAGAATTCTGTTGAAAAGATCCCCTTCTGAACTGTAGTGACTGATCATCTTCTGTGAGCACAGTGAAAATGCAGGCTCACAGTTACTCTTTCGGGGATAATGTGTTATTGAGGTAAGCGAGGATCTCCACTGTTTCCGCCTTTCTTCTTAAAGATTTCACAGTACCAGAATAAAATAATGCTCCTTTGTTACTTAGCATTTGCATTCAACACATTCCAGCTTTCTCCCCTCTGATTTGGAGGGACTTAAGTAGGATAAGCTTACAGGGGGGAAAAAAAAGTCATAGGTTGAAACATGTTTTCTGAGAACTTGTAAGTTGTATCTAGAGTTATTTGTTCGGGTATCTGGATCTTCTTTATTAGTACAAATCATGGGGCAAAGAGCTTATAATTGTATAGTATTCTGCTAACTGTTCCTCTTAGTTGCATGGAAAATCCAAAGCATAATTTGGGTGCACAAAGTTAATTCTCAGAAACCCCGAACTTCAGATACAAGTGTGAAGGGGGCGTATCATTGCAATGTTACCTCTGACTTTCCATTTATTTCTGTTGTCATTTATACAGCCTGTCCTTAATTGCTTCTGTTAGTTCTTCTCTGACAGCCTGCAAATTAGCAGGAAATGTCCATGAATGCTGAGTGTTCCAGATTACTTCCATGAAGCTAAAGATCCCCCCCCCATTTTGGTTCTAGATATCCCTGGGTTTCCCACGCGCCGCCTGAACTCTCCTGGCACAACCACTGAAGATTCTGAACTTACTGGCTGGCTGAGAGACAATGGAGCTGACGAAGACACTATAAGTCGGGTAAAGAGAAACTGTCTGTGGGCCCTGTGATGTTCTGCTTTTCTACATAATGATGCGTTTACTATGTGCCAGGTACCTTAGACACAGAGGACACCCTGCCAAGCAAGTTAGTCATAGTTCTGCCTTCCTGAGATCTAAACATTAGGAGAGAGAGGTGAATTCCACTGATTAAAAAAAGGGGGGAGGTCTTACACCAGCAAATTCTGACATAAAGTTTTTAGGTGTGTGGGAGCATGTGTGTGTTTATCTGTGTGTGTGCATCTCTGTGTATGTGCTTATCTTTCTGTGTGTGTGTGTGCGTGCATGCGTGAGAGAGAGAGAGAGAGAGAGAGAGAGAGAGAGAGAGAGAGAGAGAGAGAGGTTCTCCCAAAGGACAATGAATGAGTCTAAAGGTGCGAGATGCATAAAGGCAAGAGGTAAGGCAGACAAGGGCACCGTTGTCCATGACCTCTAAGGATTCTACTGTTTGTGTGCTGGAAATAAGGAAGAATAAGAGTGCATGGAGCTAGAACTACAGGAAAAATGTCCTTCTGTTGCTGCCACTTTTGTTAATTTTTTTAATTCTTTTGTAACATTATTAGCCTCCACTAGGAAGTAGCTATTCATTTGTTCCGAGAAAAAAGTAGGTGTACCTAGTGGATTTATGTCAGAAATACTTCCTATGTAAATCATGTGTCTATTACAACCTGATTCCTCTCTCACCATCATAGGCTCAGAGTTAGCATGAGCATTTGACTTGAGATTGCATGTATAACACATACATTTGCATTAAGATGTACTACTTGAAACTGGGGAGATGCCGCTGCAGTCAAGAGTGTATACTGTTTATAGAGCACCTGGCTTTGGTTCCCAGCACCCACGTCTGCTGACTCACCAGATATGATTCTAGCTCCGGGGGCTCCAATGCCCTCTTCCGCAGTTCAGCCACATCTGCACTCTGTGCACACACCCACATACAAATACATATACATACACACAATTAGCAATAAAAACTCTACTTTTAAAAGATGTAGTATTTTTGATTTGCTATAAAGGACCTCTTAATAATCCTATACTGTCATCAGATTTATATCTACAATTTAAAATAACTAAAATAAAATTTTCTTTTCTCAATATATTGGACTACATAAAATTTATGGTCTCCTTCGAAATCTACATTTAACAATTGGTTTCTAACTAAATTAAAATAACTCCCTTACTGAGAGAAAACAATACACCCAACTACGTTCTCCAACATTTATCCTCTTAGGCTTGAGTCACACTCAAGGAGGAGGAAGTAATGACCCACTAAATCATTGTGCCTTCTATTTGTTTTAAAATTAAAAGCTCCGCTCTTGTCCAGGGCTGACTTTGCAGTGGATTGCAGGGAAGTCCCTGCTATTGACTATGAAAGAGTTCAAAGGCTGAGTAGAGGCAATAATGTCCCAGGAATATTAATCTACTTGGGAACGAACAGAGCTGCAGAGCACTGGACCTGTTCCGTACAAACACTAGCTGTCAGCAGCCTGTGTCATTAATGACAAGTGAGATTAAACCTGCCTCTCTTCTAATCCGTAAGCAATGCGAATCATACGAATGTGTTTCTTTCTAATTTGGTAACCAGATCCAGAAGATTGTTTTTTGTGGCTTTCCTGTTAGATTCATCCTTTTTTTCTTTTTTGGTTTTTCGAGACAGGGTTTCTCTGTGTAACAGCCCTAGCTGTCTAGGAGCTAACTCTGTGAACCAGGCTGGACTCGAACTCCCTAGAGATCCACCTGTCTCTGCCTCCCAAGTGTTGGGATTAAAGGCATGCACCCCCACTTGCCCGGCTTAGACTCATTCTTAATTATTAGAAGTGTTTGTCTTGTGGACAGCTTTCATTTTTTAAGGCTACATAAAGCATCTTATTCCATACATACTGTGCTTTCTGCAGTTTCTGGCTGAGGATTACACGCTCGTGGATGTTCTCTACTACGTGACGCGGGATGATTTAAAGTGCCTCAGACTAAGGTACCGCTTCCCCTCCTTACTTTTGGTTGCCATGAGGAAAAGAACCCCGGGTTGAGAACAGGAAGCCTGGGTTCCTGCCCTGCAGGGTCTCTCACTGGCTGGCTCTGCAGGCTCAGGAAGGGCTGTGTCTAGTTTTCAACCCTCTGAGTCAACTGAGTTAGTTGGGCCAGCCTATTGGGGGGAACTCTAATAACGAGTATTTCTGTTTAAGTGTGTGGCAATCAACTGGAAGAGAGTTCCTAAATAATATCAGACCAAAGCCATGCAGATTCTCCGAGGCTGCCGTGCAGAAATGCTCACAATCCTATAAACAGCAGATCTGTCGCTGACTCACCAGCTAGACTACTTTGTATCATCTGGTACAATTCCTTGGCACAGCCCGGGCAGATCTGTAACCGACAGCCCTCTCTATAAAGACACAGTTCCAGAATGCTGAAAACATCAACTGCTGTCTTGTACTTGGTACTTTCAGAAATGGACAGGAAAGACATTGTAGTGAGGAGCTGCGGGCAGGCCTGCTTTTCATCCCGCCCGGCTCCTGCATGGCTAGCTTAGTCCCAAAAATAACAACACATAAGTTGTATTCATTTAAATACTGCCTGGCCCATTATCTCTAGAGAATTAGTTACTGGCTAACTCTCACATCTTGATTAACCCATTTCTAATAATCTGTATCACACCACGAGGTGTGGCTTACCGGGAAAGATTCAGCATGTCTGACCTGGTGGCTGGCTCCATGGAGTCTGCCTCACTTCCCTTCTTCCCAGCATTCTATTCTGTTTACTCCGCCTACCTAATTTTCTGTCCTATCAAAGGGCCAAGGCAGTCTCTTTATTGACCAATGAAAATAACACAATAGACAGATAACCCTCCTCCATCAAGACATGAAGGGTAGTGAGGAAACACCATGAGTGCAGAGTACATCAGTACACATATGCCTGTGCACTTCATGGCCCCTTTTCTGTTCCAAGGGCATTTCCAGGGGACGGTGCTCTTCAGCTTGTTCTTCTGTCTTTTACACAGGGGAGGGATGCTGTGCACACTGTGGAAGGCCATCGTTGACTTTCGGGACAAACGCGCCTGACTGTGACTGATTTAACCTTCAGCGGGGACTCTGACCGTCAACACAGAACTGCTCTCCTTTAAGGGAGGGGAAGTTGGAGAGGAGAAAGAAGCTGCACTTTAAATCCAGTATTTGTTTACTCGTGTCAAAAAAAACAAAACGATAGACGGAACACACTGAAATTTCCTGACTTCTGTTTCTACGAGACTCCTAAGGACTCTCCGCAAAGGCTGTCGCAGTCACGCTGATTAGCACCCTAAGGCCGAGGACCGTTGTAGTCTGCGCACTCTCATGGGGATGGGGATGGTTTTCGAGTCAGCAGCTATTGCATTCTCAGCCCAGTGTTTAGCACAGAACAGACAGGACATTTCGTGTGACAGTGTACCACTGGATCAAAACCAAAATGTGACCGCGACCTTTTAAGGATTCTGTGTGTGTGTGTGATGTGCCCTGGGCACCTGAGCAGAAATGCGTAATTTGGATCGTTGTACAAAGTTTTCTTTCGTTCTTTCTTTATTAGTGCGCAGAACCTAAGAGTTATAGTTTCTACTCTCTGTACCGGTTGTCACATTGACTGTATTTTGTAACTTAAGTGTCTGGCCCGAGTGTGTTTGTCGGAGGTGGTCATGTACTACTGAACCGCACCAGGTGCACATCTGGATCACGGTGATGTTAGCTTGTTCTAAAGCTACCCGCTGTGTCTTATTTACTCCAGAAGTAAAAAGATTGCCAACATGCTACTTTGACGACGTCCAGAACATGGTTCTTTTGTGATGATGAACTAAATGACTGGGTTAAAGTTTGGTTGGTTTTTTTTTTCCCCCAATTATGACATTAAGTAGGATGTGTCTCTACTGAAGCAATGAAAGGACAGCTGGCATCCAGATTGTTCCTTGGGGACAACAGAGGGGCGCAAGAGAGTGGTCAAAGTGAAAATTTTTTAAAGACTCAGTGTATTTTTCCCACGTTACCTTGGAAACGACAGAAGCCATTCCATGTCTTAAGAGGTTTGCAAGAAGGAATCATCTGGACATCATTTTCTTTTCTGTCTCCTTAATGTGGTTCTCGTATTTGGGGATTTTTTTTTGAGCCAGATCTTATATTTTTATGAGCCTTCCCACGTTAACAAGATGAGATCTAAAGCTCATAGATGGATAAATAGGATGAACTTCCTACCTTCGCAGGGATGTGATTAGGACGTAGGACGGAAACTGCAAAGGTGTGGTCGAGTGGCGTGACTTAGCCCATACAGAAGTCTTCAGTAACAGGAACGGGCTTTATTTCTATGTGAAAATAAACGTACAATGCATCATACTGCATCTGGATATATGAAATAGTCTCCTGAATATTTTCTCACTTGACACTAACAGGGCTGATCGTCTCGAAAACACTCTAACTTTGGACAGGTCATTAGTCTCTTGACTCCTTTGTGGGAATTTTGAAGAAAGTTGGTTAAGACACAATTTGTCTCATTAATTCCAATGTTTTAAATGCTTCTTTTTTGCACTATATGTACATAGGATCGAGCTACCCATTTTCAACTAACTCTTCAATTATACTGTCTGTCCTTAGGTCTTCCCCACCCCCAGTGCCGGTCTCTGTTGCCTCCCACCCCACCTGGCTTTGAACCTTCTTAATTCACAAATATGTTACAATATGTTCCCAAGTCACCATCCTTAGGCTTTTGCTAACACTTTGTATCAAGCACACAAGAAGGTAGTGCCATTGTGGGTCAAGGTTCATGAAAGGTTTGTATTGGGAAAGCCTTTAGCATCGCCCATACCAGGGCTTCTCAATTTGGATTTATGTTCAAATGACCTAGATGCTTTTGAAGTAATATAACAGAGTACTTGCTTAGCCCTATGTAAGACTTTAAATTCTATCAACGCCATACACAACAAGAAAAAGATACTGATCTGCCACCTGAAGGAGTGGCAGGTTCCTTGGGAGTGGAGAAATGGCTCAGTGCTTAGGATGCTTACTGCTCTTTCAGAGGATCCAAGTTTGGTTCCCAGCTCCCACATCCGACAGACAGCTTATAAGCTACCTGTAACACCAGCTCCAGGGGAATCTGCCTCTGGCCTCCTTGGATACCCAAACTCATATGCACATGTGCACACACGCGCCCATGTACACACACACACACACAATTTAAAATAAATGTTTTAAGAAAACAAAAAGAGGACTAGACACATTTTAAAAATTCCCCCATCAGCATTTAACGTGATCAAATTACACCTCGTGTCTGGGCCCAGTGAGAAGCGGAGAGGGAAAGGGCCCTCTCAGGGTGGTAGTGAGATGGTGACTTCAGTTAAGGTAGAGACTGTGACCACTCCTTAGCCCAGAGGAATGCTCCCTCCTGACCTGTGACCTCCGACAGATTGGCCTCTGTGAAATGGGGAAACTGTCTTCCTCCAAGGTCTGTGCTGAGACTCAGACAAGGACAGCGCAGGTAAGGCCCTTAGTCGGTGCTTAGCGTGTGGTAAGAGCTCAGGGGCTGCCTGCTCCTGGGATGGGTCCTCACTCAGAAGCACCTGTGAGATACTGACTGTGGACCAGGAGTTAAATGAGTCAGGGGTGAGTGAAGGTGCCTGCCGTGCGAGCCTGGTAGCCTGTGATCTACCAATCCCCAGAACTCAGGTAAAGAAGGAAGGGGGGAAGTGATTCCCCAGTTGTCCCCTTAGCTCCACACGTGTGCAAGCTGAGTTCCGCACACATACACACAGCACAATAAATAAATAAATAAATAAATAAATAAATAAATAAATGCTAGGGTACTAGTACATGCTGTGGTATAAGTTAAGACACAGTTCTTGCCCCTCAAGCCCAATGTCAGAAGTGGAATCAAAAGTGTAGGGAGGACTAAGCATTAAGAAAAGCTTTTCAAGACAAGAAAGGATGAGAACTAGGAATATAGTTTAGAAAAAGAAAAGTTATGCAGGGAAAAATAAGATGGCTTTTCCAGTGGGTCCAGTGTTGTTGTTGTTGTTGTTGTTGTTTTAAACAACATTCTTGTCTCTTTCTCTAAATTCTGCTGTTGCATACTTTGCACCCTTCATTGCTAGGCCACTACATAAAGGAGTTTGACAAAGATGAACTTCACCCATTTGAAAGGCTATATGACGTGTAAGACACTGTAGCACCATCAAAGCAAAATAAACGACGCCCGTATAGCATGATTAATAAAAACACAGAGGCAGAAATTGGGGTTGAACCTGAAGGTCAGAAAAGCAAAACAGCCAGCCACTGGCTCTTAGCTCTACCCCAGACTGAAATGGCGATCCTGCCTCCAGGAGTCTCAGAATGAGACTATGGGTGAGATATGTTTCCTCCCATCTTATATTTCTTTCTAGTGCTGGGATTAAAGGCTTGCACTATTACCCCTGATTTCTATGGCAAACTAGCATGGCTACTGGGATTAAAGGTGTGTGTCACCACTGCCTGGTCTGTAAGGCTGATCAGTGCAGCTGTTTTAACTTCAGGCAAACTTTATCAAAATACAAATGAAATGTCACTACATTTCCTCTTTTTGTCTAATATAAAAAGGGAAGGCTATAATTAATATAAGAAAAACTATACAATAAGTACAGTGACTATATACAATATATACAGGCAATAAATATATCAACAATGTCTAGTCTATTTGCATTCAAAAAATTTAGAGAACATACTCCACAGCTACCCTATCTTGGTGAGTCCAAAGTCTTACACCTAATTTACTTTTCTATAACTATCCAATCTTTAACTCCCTCAAAGGCCCAAGAATGAAATAATAGTAACTGAGTAAGGAGGAAGTGCAAGGAAGTGACTTCTAGCAAATGTGCGAAATGACAGAAATAGCTAGCTGCCTGGACAGTCACCCAAAGTTCCTCTGCAAAAAGGTTGGGGCATCTATCCTTGGCTTACAGGCCTACTTATCTGATAGACTTTCCTGTGAAGCAGGATATTCTGAAGGGCTGTCCCTCCTTGTCTTGACAATGTTTGGCAGTCACTTTATTTGTGTACTGCTTATCTAATTAGGACAACATACTGTCAGCAGGCGAGACGGGCATTTTCTTGCTTAGCAGCTTACTTTTGCCACAAAGAAAGTAAAATCCATGAAGAGTTTCTTCAATGCCCATTATCTTCTCTGAAGTAGACCGGTGTTGCCGGTAGTAGACATGTCTCATTGTAATAAAAAAAAGAACCTAGGTTATTAAAACATCTTAAATGTCATATTCTATAGTCTCTGAAGTGTTTGAAGATGACCTGTCTATCTAAAATATGTCCTTGTTTGACCTTGAAAACATACCTAATGTGACAAATTCGATTATAACAGATGACTAATTACTAACCCTGTATTTTCTTTTATCCCAAACAGTTGGTAATAATAATTTTCAAGAACTAGAAATTTGCACTACATTGTTAGCTGAGTTGTTAGTAGAGGTACAATACCTTGAATAAAGGTAGAAATATATGTATAGTATAGTCTAACAAAATTAATCTCAAATTTGTATCGATATACAAAATTTGTATACTATATACAAAAAAATCAATCCTATATAAAACATTTAAAACTAGCAGTTGCTTTTTAAAAATAGAATCAATAATCTATCTTTTTATCTTATATCTATATCTTTTATCTGTATCTTTTATCTACATCCTCTTTTTTTTCTTTTCAGAGTAGATTTAATCTACCCTTTTATCCTATAATATCTATATCCCCCTTTAGAAATATCACTAATGCCCACAAGTGCAGACAGTGTATATGACATCAGCAAGGATATTTCAACCTATGGACAAATAAGATAACTCAAAGTCCCTGCCATCAAAAATGTACATCAGATTGAAGACCCAAATTTGCACTAAATTAGGCAAGTGTTAAACCCAGCGAGTGCTATTGAAGTTCAGGTAGGCCACTGAGCCAGGGCAGGTGGACACATTCCATGTAGGAGAAGGCTGCTGACTGGCTTTCCGAGGTGATAGTGAAGGCCCAGAGAATCACCATGGGCAGACAACAGGCTAGGAGGGGATGAAGCATTCTGAGGAAAGTGAGTAAATCCATTAGCCAGGAAGAAAAATGCTTGCTAGCTTGTAAAAGTTAGCAAGGAGGAGGGGTCCAAGGACCTCTCAGGGAATGGGGATAGGGAGGGAGTAAGGTTGACATCAGATGATGTGGTAATAGGTACTCTCTTAAAAAGGTTTGAGCCAGGGAAAGCTGTGTAAAGTCATCTTGTATTAGATGATTAATAACCTCGTGACACAGTGTAAGGGTGAGATGAACTGAACAGGGCAGTTCCAAGCCTGTCTCAGATCTGAAAGAGGGTCAGGCTGGTAGGAAGCCAGGGTGGCATGAATGAATTGTGAAGATTTGAGAACTATGGGCAGTGATGACAAGGGAGAGGAGGGATAAATGCCGAGCCCATGTGGGTAAGAAAAAGATTCCAAGAGAGAAATTCGGAGGGGGTGGAGGTGTGTTCTGGATATGTAGAATTCATAGCAGAGTATGATAGAATTGTTCAGGGAATATTGAGAATAGGCTAAGGGGTTATTTCAGTCACTAAAGTGCTTGCCTTGGAAGCTAAGGACCTGAGTTCAATTCCCAGAATAACATTAAAAAAAAAAGCCAGGTGTGGTGGTGTGTGCTTTTAGTTCCAGCACTGGGGAGGTGGGGACAGGCAGATTCCTGGGGTTTGCTCACCAACCAGCCAGCCTAGAAGCAGCTCTAAACTAAAGGAGAGACCCTGTCTCAAAAAACATGGTGAGTAGTGTTCTGAAGGACACCAAGAGTTTGACCTCTGGTCTTCACACACACACAAACATGTATAAAAAAAATACACATACACACAAAATCTAAAGACTGTGTTGGAGAAGGTTGATACTGAGTCAGGAGTATATGTTCTAGACTTGAGCATCACCAGCTAATCACTTGAGCTAATTGTTAATGGGGATGACGAGAGGCAAGGCAGAGAAAGGAAAGCCATGGCTTGAACTCTGGGAAGGACGGAGATCTCAGGAGCAAACGGGAAGGAGGGGGGCTCCAAGTCAACAGGGGAGCCTGAGGAGTCAGTGGTGAGTGAACCAGTAGAGGGTAATGCAGAATCATGTCCACATATAAAATAGCCAGGGGATTGGGGGTGGGGGTGGGGAATGGTGTTGTGCTTCCATCATGAGGTGATGGACCTTCCGTCAGGAGGTGAAGGCAGAAGATTCAGGAACTCAGCCTCAACTACACAATGTTTGAGGTCAGCCTGGGCTACATGAGTCTCTAAACAATAACAACGGCAAAAACCCAAACAAACAAACAAACCAAACCAGTCAACCAAATAACAAATCCCAGATGTCTAGGGGAACAATTGATTGAAAAACACTCAGTAACTTGGTATTGTGACTCAGAAAACTACTATAGGTGAACAAGAAAAACGGCATGTCTTGTTTTTCAAATAACTATGTCTCAACATCCCATACTTGTTAATACTTTAGTTGAACAAAACATGTGACAACGGATGGAAAGTGAAGAGGACAGACTGTGGGGAGCCAAAGGGCCCTGGGTGGAGAGGCATCTGGGAGCCAGGGAAAAGAGCAGGAGGTAAGCAGAGGCTCGGCTCCACCCCGGGAGAGGAGAAGGAAGCATGGGAAACTGGAGAACTTTTGAGCTGGATGTGAGCACCCAAGGCAGATGGCTCCTGTGTTCCTAGTGAAGAACAACCTAAAGGGCAGTATGGTGGCATCTGACATTTAACAGATGCCATTCCCTCCCTGATCAACAGTCTACTGTGCAGCAGACACTGAGTTAGGTTTGGAACTAGGAGTCTGTCCAAGGCTTTACGTGCTGGGTTTGGTGTCCTTATTGCAATTAATTTGGAGCAACTGAAGCACAAATTCATCAAAAGAATAGGAGTGTGGACAAACACCCACCAGATCAACTAATACCAAACAGCACATACCAATAACCTCTTTCGATTTGTTTGTTTGTTCTGAGACAGGGTCTCACTATTTAGTCTAGTTAGCTTCAAACTCCTGACAATCCTCCTGCCTCAGGGCTTAAGGTGGTATAGAAACACCCAGTATAAAATCTTGACTTAGGTACTTTGTAGTGTCAGTCAAAAGGCTGAAAACAAATCACTTCCTTTTCTAGGGGTCTGCCAAATACTTGAACTACATACAGCAAAGAGAGTCTTGCTGGTGTTCAGAAAAAGGTGTCTGTCCTAAACCCTCCTGAGTTTACCAAGGAAAACATCTTTGCTGAGGTCCAAGCTGAGTTCTCTGTTGAGAGCTTCCTTCTGCTCACCCGGGGCTTTCTGTGTGTTGATCCAAAGTGTAAGACGGATTTGAAGATGGTGGAGGACTGTCTCACTGTTCAAAGAATGTTTGCCTCTTCCACTGTAAGCATGGTGCTTTGGAATAATCCATAAGTAACCAAAATAAAACCAAAACCAAAACAAACAACCAAAATCAAACAAACAAAAAACAACCTATGAATAAAGTGATACAGTCCAATCCTGGCCTTGGAGGGACACTGTTCAGACCCTCTTTAGTGTCCTCGCTACATTTTGTGGGGTTTCAAAGTATAAAGAACTCGTTGGTTATGCTGAGAGAGCCAATGGTGGGGACCTGTCTTTCTGTGTGAAGGCAGAATTGGTTGCCTGCTGTGTTCCTTCGCTTTGTTCCTTCTTTTGTTTCCATTTCTGTAGCTTACTTAACCACCCCCTCAGCATTTTGTTGCTTATCATTTATTTTGCCTACTCGGGCAGAAATTTGTTTCTCAGTTGCTAATGTTTCTTTTTTGAAAACCGCCTTCCCCAAGCCCCTAGTCCTTCAAAGCAAGACAGTCACAAGACAGTTTACTAGTCGGAAATCAAGAATAAGAAAAACCCCAGCAGACAACGCAGGTTTCACTAACGCGCGTACTGGGGCACGCGTACTCATCAGCCACGCGGGCCAGGTGAAAAACCAGAGCGCAGACGGAGCCCGGTCTCGGCGTGGAATCCTGCCGGTGTACTTCGGCTCACCACGTGGCATCATCTCCTCGGGCGACTGTCACCGCGAACTCCGGTCCCCAAGAGGCTGAACTGACCTGACGGCTTCAGAGTTCAAAGGGGAACCGAGCGCTCGAACGCCTTCACCGCCGCTCCGGGGCCGCGGGTGGACGCTCTCCTCACTCACTCAGGCGCGGCGGCGACCTCGGGCGACAGGCGGAGGTGGCTGGGAACCGCCGGCCGGGACACCGAGCTCTGCCGATCGCTCTGACCGCGTCCGTCGGGGCGTCTGCGGCGCCGCACCTGCCC